CATAATATGAGGCAACAGAGACTGGAGCATCTTATTTGTAGCAAATTTTATTTTCAAATAACCATAAAAGGTATCCAGTTACTCTTCAGATTAATTTATAAGATCATGCAAGATAAAAACAAGAAGTTCCAAAGGAAAAAAAAATTGTTCCTGACAATTCTAATATGTGAAGAAAAAGTACACAGAAATGCACACCAGGAACTTTCTACATATGGCTAATACCTGGATCTTTATTCTTGCCTGCTTTTTGTCATTTAAGCACAAGATAAATGTAGTGCAAAGAAGCAAAAATTAATAATCCAAGGATAAAAAACTTGTTAATGTGATGCATGATAAAGGAGGGTTTACTATATTAATATTCACAAAGAAATGTTGGAAGTGGGAAGTGATGTTGGATAAAAATATCTATTGTGCAGCACAGATAAAAAGAAATTTCATTGTGGTGATTATATTGCTACTTGCATCATATTCATAGACTTTTCCTTAGGTACCATGCACAGTTCTGAGCTTTTTTTTGCTTTGGAAACAGGTAAAATAAAATGGAAACCTTCCCAGAGGGCATTCAAAATAATATATTAGCTTAGAATTACAATATTTTGGTGAAAATAAGGTAAATGGTGATATTATTCTGAGAAAAATGTTGGGAAGGCAGAATAGGTATTATAAAAGTGTTTCAGAATCAATGGCACACCATAAAGAAAATAACTTCTGTTTTCACATTGGCTGTAAAGTAAAGGACCGTGGCTTTACATCAGAGGGCTTTTATTTATTTGAATATTCAGAGTTGGTTCCCGGTTGCTAAAAATATAAAATCCAAAAGGCCAATCCAGAGTTTATCTATGTATGGTTTCAAAGACCATACAATGCCATTTCTCTAATTTGGACTAAGTCCCAGTGTCCTTATTTAATCCTTGTGTCTAGAGACGATAACATGTAAAAGGCATTGAATCATCTTGAGAGTACACAAACTCTCTACCAGTAAAGCTAGCTTTGTTTAAAGCATAGTTGAAAATTAAATAGCAAAACTCCATACCAAATTAGGTGTTTATATTTATCTCTTATGACAATGGTATTCTCCCTAGCGTTCTCCTTAAGAGCCTAGAATGACATGATTCCACGATTCCATTCCACAACTTCCCACTTCTAACACTTTTCTCCATGATGCCCTTTGCAAGCACGCTGCAACAGAAAATGAGATGATAGGTATATGTGGTTTATAAAATACTTTGACTTCAAAGAAAGGTTACTGTAAAAGAATGTGCTGTGGATTCTACAGGGGTTTTGTTAAATAAAGCTATCTATTTTTTAGGTGATGAAAAATCACCCAGGTCTTAAAAGTGTTTGCTTTGGGTCCTTTATTATGGAATTTTTTTCCTTATTTGAGGTATGAAAAGCCTACCTACCCTGTAAGCCAGCATTAGGGGGGCCACTCAACCAAAGCTGACAGATGCTAACTCTCCGTAAAGCTTTTTTTGCCCGAGATCAATTTGCCAGAAGTTAGACTAACCCAGACATGGGAGGTAGAAACTATGAAAATTTAGTACCTTGCTCCCTTCTAATAAGTCCACATCCTTCTCTTCCATGCCCAAAAATAAGTGTGTGGTTGCCCAGACTGAAAAACCACGGTACATCACGGGAAAGCAAGACAGACCTTCCAACTCTACATCGCATGCTTTTCTTCTCTTCCCACTCACATAATGAGGGTTCCTTTCTTTTACTTTTTAAAAATGTGCCTGTTTCAAATTTGTATTATTTTTTTCAGATGTCTAATTGCAGTTATGTTCTTTCCCTCTTTGGTCTCCTCCCGCATTTCACATACCAGACAAATATTTAAAGGTCTGTAAAACCAGGCGAGGCTCCAAAATATTTCTAACCGAAACTGCCATAGGTGACAGCACAGGGAAAGAAGGCAAAGCTGTAGGACAAGGATTTGAATAAACTGGGTGGAAATGTATTGGAAAATCTATTTAAGTTGCTATAGCCATGCATGAGGTTTCAATGAGGCATAAACATTCAAGTTACTGACAAAACCAACATGTTTCATGATCACTCACAATAGTCTACTTGTCATGGTGCTTTTCTTTTTTTCTTTTTTTATTATTAGTAGATTGCTCTCTCTTTTTAAATTTTCTTTCCCCTTTTTAGTATTCAGGAAGTGAAAGCATTTAAGAAAACATTCAAAGTTCTGAGAATACATGTAAGTGAAATATTTAATGTCTGTCATTCATAAAAGTTACATCATTTACATAGGGTTCATTTGTATATAATAAAAATTTCATCATAATGAAAAGTTTTCTGGAAAGTTATATGTTAATTTGTTTAACATATGCTTTGGATATACAGCTAAATAGGAATCATTAAAAAATTCTTTCTTCAAATAGTCCCTTTAACAATTAAAAAAACCTCATTCCTAAATATTTGTTTTCCTTTCCACTTGCTCCTTTGTTTGTAATATCATATGTAATTTGAACTATGCAAAGATCGGATCTTTTCATAGTTCAGGATATATTTGTATACTTCAGTAAATTTGCTCATTGCATAGCAAACATGTAAACTTACAGAGGATCTATAAATTTTACCCTAATAATCTAAAAAGTTGCTGAAATTTTACATGATAGTTTATTCTAAGGTTTATTTTTTTGTTGTAACTTGTGTTTTCTTTTTTTTTTAATTTTTAATACATGGGTCGATTGAATACAACAAATAAAATGTCATGAAAAGTTAAAAACCAAGTAAGTCCTTTTATCCTAGACTACCAGAATTTTACCTCATTAGATTGTTTGGATTTTTTTTTTCCTAAGTATCACAAGTTGGAAATGTATCGTGCTGCCTCTTAAGACAGTGTTCAAAAGTAATTTCAACAGTGTGTATTTAACATAAAGTTAACTATGTTTGCATCAAATAAAATGTTTATTCATGAAAGCTATTTATCATACAAGAAACAGCAAAGATAAGTCATCATACAGAGATGTACACTAGAAGTGACAGATGTAAAAGTGCATGCAGAGATTTCTGTTTAAAAAGGAAGGAATAAACAATGATACTAAAATTACTGGGTTTTGATCCTATACTCTCAAAGGAGTGATAACTTTTCTTTGAATTTACAATTGGAAAATTCTATGAACAGATAGGACTAGTACACATTAGCAAGCAAGTGAAATGGATGTTTTTGGACTTTATTTTACAATTACTGTGCTTGACAAATGTGTGGGATTTTTTTTTTTTTTAGCAATAATAATTTTCTTCAAATATGGGGTGGGCACATTACTGCCAGGCTGCTCTGGTTTATACACGGCTTATCTAATTTTGTTTTAAACCACATAACTTTAAGCCTCCATTTGTGTTAGACACCATAAAGAACAGAGTTTTTGTTAACATTCAGTAAATGACATTTAAGTCTCTCTCTCTCTCTCTCTTTTTTTTTTTTGGCTCAATAGATTTTAAAATGTATGATTATCATAACCTAATATTGTCTTTGTCTTCACTGCAGTGGATTTCCGATCAAACTTTTCCCCTTCTTTTAATACTTTAGGGAATTTTCAAACGTCGGGATGTTTGGCTGTAATGCCCCAAGATTTGTTCTCCCTGAAAAAAATCATAGTGACAATTTATTAACTACAGAGCAACTTGGCTTTTAGGGGTCTGCAATTTCTATTTTGATTTACAAATATCCATTTGTGCTCAATAGACCTAATATTAAATCTTAATCATAGTTAAGTTTCTTTTCATGCAATTACTTTATCTGCTAATTATCTTGTTTTTAATTCTAAAAATTGGGCAGAGTCAAATCGGTGGGGCATTACTTTTATTATAAGAAAATATATTTAAAGGTAATTCTAAGTTGGATTACATTGCATATGCAATGGTGTGTACATTTAAAATGAATCAGAAGTTTGGAAATCTGAAAACTATTTGTATGTTTGAATATTTAAAAATTTTTTGTATTACCACTTTAATAGCTTTTACATACAGATATTGGAAACACACTAGTACAGTTAAACCTTAAATTAAACTGATGGGAAATAAAACTCCTTAGATTCAAAATGGTTTATTCACACAAATTTAATAGGATATATCACAATTGTTTGGTCCATAAATATTTAGGGGAAATAGTTTCTATACAATGCATTTATCAATAAACAAAGAAACATGGACAATTTTGCTAGACCACTTACTGTACTATAAACACGAAGCTCAATATATAAGATTATTGAATTTATCAACTATATTTGAAAGAGTGCACAACTGCTTTCTATGACATGTTTGTCCCCTCTAACAGGATACACCATAAAAAGAGTTTCGGAAATAAGAGGTAAAACAGTACAAAACTAGTGAGGTGTCAAAAGGGCTTAAAACAGTTAATTTAACAAACAACACATATATCCTGATTTTTCACAAACTTACTTCCAAGTTATATCATAAGGCACATAGGAGAACTGAGTTATAATTAGTCTACTTAATAAAGTAGATCTATAGTACCATACATTGTTCTGTCAAAGAACAAAATTTATAAGTATCAATATTTTACCTGTAAAAGTGTATTAATAAGATCTCAGCCTTACCAAGGTTGTTTGGTCTGGTTAGTGGTAAATGCCCAAAATGTAATAGAAATATGAAAAGTCAAGATTTAAGCTCCATATAAGATGATAACCACACTTGCTAAATATATAATGGCAATCACACCTTTCTTCTGTTACAGTGTTAACTTATCTTCCACCATCTTTTTTTTTAAAAAATAAGCTACTTTCTGTGCTAATTTTCTAAAGACCCTGAGCAAAAGTTACAATAATGCACTTTAATGTGGGCAGTGAACTGTCAATATGTAACCACACATTTATACAGCCAGAAGGACACCTTTAAAATCTATTAAATAGCCACTTTGACCACCAAAGATTTAAGGGGTCCAAAAAGTGGGGAATATGTGCAAAGTTATTCTTAACAATCCACTAAAGCAAGACATAGATCTTGACTTCTTTTTTATTTATTTATTTATTTTTTTTAGGAAATCCACAATCTAATTGGTATTTAACTACAACAGAAGCATATAGATGAACATTCACCACTGCCCAGACCATTAAGATTTTAGTTTAAATTAAAAGAAAAAAAATGCTACTGTAAACTAGGAAATATATTCAGATCAGCATCCACAAGGCTTCTGAGTTTATCTACTTTAAGACTAATAACTTTCAATCTGTACTGTCAGAAAAGGGTTTTTTTCTGATAAATATATCAACCTATGCCAAAGTAAAATAAAGTAAAACAAACCAAAGATTTCTTGTTGTTAATATTAGTCTACTAAGGTTTTTTTAAAAAAAAAAAAAAAAACATTATTCATATAGAATGCCAGATACAATATCATGGTACAGCTGAAGCCAATTAATAGATCTATTAATTAAATTATACCTTTTTAACTTCTTAAAAAATTATATTTTGCTTATTTCCATTTTCCCTAGGAAAAAAATTAATTTAGAAAGAATGGTTTTACAACTATCATTTTTAGCTTTAGGTTAAAAGTATAGAATTTCAAAATCTATATGGAATTTTCATAGATACACAGGGAGTTTAAGTATTTTTCAAATGTTGAAAAACAAGTAACTAACTAACAAGTTTTGCTGGGATGTACATCCCAAAAAGAAGGAAAAGTCACGTCCTTGGAACAGATTTCCCACCTAATTAATCTTTAATATTTGGAGCTGCTATAGATAATGCTTTTGTTTAATCATATTCCTCATTTGTAAGAAAAAAGAATGATCAAAACATTTTTTTCAGTTTTAAAATTCAAAAAACAATGTGAAGTTTTCAAAATTCCATAAGTACACATACAATTACAAGATTTAAAAAATAACTTTAATTATCTGATTCTTTATTAACCTAATCATTTAATTGGGAATATGATTATTTACCCATCATAATACCACTTTTTTTTTCTTTGAGATTCTGGAAATAAGTAACATACAATTTTAAGAGGCACTTATTAGAATAATTCAAAAACTCCCCTTACCAACTGAAAGATCTAATTAAAAAAAAAAAACCCAAGTACACTTTGTAGACAAAAAAACAAAAACAAAAACAAAAAACCACTTTGTAAAGGAGACAATACTGTAAACTCATTTGCCAAGTGGCTGCAGATGCTACACACCAAGCTGTTGTTTTTATTTCCCAAATATCTTGTGGGTTAGAAAAAAAAAATCTTGTAAATAATAAAATAAGAATAAGAATAATAAAAGAAGAGGAAGAATTAAAAAAAAAAAAACCAATGTTAGAAAAGGTTCGTTAAGGTAGTTTGTGAGGGGCTTCCGGATTCGTGGCTGTCCATGTTAGAGGTCACGGATGTCACTACAGTGATAGTGGGATTGGTCAGGTCTGTTAAAGTGGTCGCAGTGCCGGGTGGAGTAAGAGCGCCGCTGTCTGCTGAGGGCGGGGCCGGAAGCGACGTGCCATCAGCTTTATCAACACCCCCATTCTCCTGCCGCAAAAGGTTCCTTCTGAATTTGGCTCGTGCGTTTTGGAACCAAACCTGCAAACCAATCCCAATTGATTTCTTTACCGATGTTTATTTTAGACTTCTTTTGTTTTTTTCTCTTTCTTTCTTTCTTTTTTCCTTATCTTTTTTTTCTTGCTTGCTTGCTTTTCTTGCTTTTTTTTGTTTTTTGAATGTTTTCTTTTTAAATATAATTGTTTATTTTTCTTGGGAGAAAAGGGCTTTTTTTTTTTTTTTTTTGGCTTTCTTTTAGAACAGATTAATTCAAGTAATGCTACAGATATTCTCTCAACTGCATATATCCCCCCAGCATTAACAAGTGCCACGTGGGACAACTGATGCTTAAGTGGAAATACCATAGAAATGAAGGCACAGAGATAAAGGGGAAAAATATATCCTGATTCCTTAACTGATTATTATCTTTTGAGAATGGGGAGAGGCAGGATCACTGAAAGTTTTGCAAAGTAAGAATGAATCGTATGAAATGAACATCATTGAAACAGATTTCAGGCTATCCTTGAGTCTGACACAGGGTAAGTAGTCTGTGCATAGGAAAAACCCAGGACCACAGACCCCAAGCAGCCAGAAACTGGTTGGTGGAAATTTAAGTATCTGCAATTTGTCACTGAGAAGTAGAAGAGGATCACTGGTGACCCACAGCAACCCACTATAATTTCATTAGTTGTATATTCTTACCATTATGAGTTTAGGAAAACAATTGGACAGCACATCTAACTCCCAATGTTTAGTTTTGAAATATGGTTTACTAAAATGGGAAAATACTTGCTACAGTTGGTTGCTGAGACACCGTAGTTGTGGCTATTCAGGAAATGAAAAAAAAAGGAGTTGATCTGCATTTGGAAGGTCATGGCCTGTGAGTGAGGCTGCCAAGAGTTTGCTGAAATACAAAAGCACCAGCAGGTCCCCCTTCAACTCTGTACTGAGCCTAGTGTGAATGGAACTCTCTAAAGCCACAACCTGTACAAATAACATCAGCCACATTAGCAAAGCGGTGAGGCAAGTTTGCTGGCTTTGGTGGGCCCATCTCTCCACCTACAGGGAGAAAGTGGCTGCATTTTAGAAGATCCTGGGAGTGTCTTTCGGCACCCTCCAGGAAGCCCCTGCAAAATTTCAGCCTACCCTCTTGGGAGATAACTAAGATAAACTAATGAAAAGCAGTACAGGAAATATCTGTATTGCTCTAAACAGGGAAGAGAACTATTTTTACTGGCAAGGGTAAGGGAGAGGTATACACAGCCAATGATGGAGGCTTCTTACCTGCAAAACTCTTTTGGTGAGGCCTGTTTTCTGAGCAAGCTGCTTGAGATCCTTGGCATCCGGATTGTGGTTGATGGCAAAATAGGATTTCATGGTCCGTAGCTGGTGATGCTTGAAGGAGGTTCTCATGCGCTTGGTCTTCTGCGAGGGTGGGTAAGGCTGCTGATCCCGGTCCAAGTGGTCTGCCTCATTCTCATTACAACCTGTTGCGGTAACAGCGAACAAGCAAGGGCTCAGTGGAAAGTCAGCCATTAGCTGCAGGGGTGGCAGGCTCTATAATGCTTTGATAATAAAGCAACAGTGGGAAAGCCTGTCAACCCATGTAATAAGCAGTATCTAGACCAAACAAAGAGGTTAATTGCCAAAGTCCCCCAAACCAGCCTCTTAATATGGACACAACCAAAGTTTATGTAATAGAAAAGCATTAGATAAATTCTCTCTTTTGCATAATGGTTGCTAGCAAGCTCAGGAAGACAAGCCCTAAGTGTGAAAGAAGCATCCAAGAGTGAAAAGGAAAAGCTCTAATATATTTATACATATCGGCACCTGCCCTTCTACACAAACACAATTTTTAAAGACTCCATATTTTGTCTGTTTGTGAAATGAAACATACTGTCTGAAGGCACTGTTCTTTACCATGAGGGATATGCAAACAAGTAATTTCAGCTCTCTCAAATCTGAGAGTTTTTGAGAGCCCACCAAGTAAGGAAGAATCTAAGTCAGTTCCAAATTTTAGCTTTTCCTGATGTTCCTAGAGTCTTCACAATCAGGAAAAAGGTAGAAAGTGGCTGGAGAAAAGGGAGAAGTTACAAAATAAGAATTTATAGATTTCTTATGTAATCCTAAGAATATCATTTTTGAGGGTTTTTAGCTATAACTGGTTAACATTGGGCCATCCCAGAAAGAAAACAGTTTTCCCTTGGAGTTATTTTAATAAATATTTCTGAAAGAGCATGAGCCCAGACTTCTCTTCACTCAGTTCATGCCTGAAGCGCTCCCCACAGCTCACAGTTCAGAGACACTGATGGCATTTATTTCTCAGCTCAGATCTTGGCCCTTTTTGCTGGGACGTGGACGTGTGTGACTGTGATTTGAGCTGTGCCCCCCGGCTGGCCTGGCAGAAAGAGGGTGACATCTCTCTCCTTGCAAAGCCCTGCTCAGCATTGAGGGCAAAACAATCCAGCCTTTGAAACCAGCCTGAAAGTCATCATCCCAGGGTGTAAAGATGTACATTTAAAAGGTCATTTCCAATAACCTACTGGTTCTGCAAAGAAAATAGGATTACAAAATGAAAATATTTTGCTAAATATTGACTGATTTCATCTCAACTTAAAGGGCATGGCATTTTTTTTTCTTTAAACCCTTACTTCAGTTACTTAGATGATGCATTTTCAGATCTGATCATCCTACATTTTAGTACATTATAATAGAATATCTAAAATCAACCTGATCATGTCACTTGGTGGGGGGCAGACAAAACCTGAATCTGAAGAACGTAAGGCATTTCTTAATATTAGCTCTTCTGCTTGATAAAATATTATTTGTCTGCTATGGTCTGGTTAGAATTATGTTCTAAAACTTATTTTTGGTTAAGTCAGCATATATACAGAAACAGTAGTTTTGGTCATCAGTGAAGAGGTCATCACATTTCATCACAAAATCCACATAACAAGAAATTCTAATGTAAGAAGACATTATATTAAGCATGAATTAATGTCTCCTTTGTTTATATTTCCATAAGACACTTAAGTAGAGGGCACGTGTGGCAAAAGAGCAGATGAGTTCATTGAGGGAAAGATGATATAACTTTACCTTTGTGTCCGCTAAGTCAAGTACAGGGCCAGGACTCAAAAGCATTTCACCAAGATTTTGAATCTTTGTTCGTCAATAAAATTGAGTGACTATTAATGAAAAATCAAGTCAACTCAAAGGGAATCCAAGCCTACAAATGTTGAACACAGACTTCTTAAACTGCACCAGAAGAGTAACATGTACTGAGATAAGAAAAAGTATGTACTTTACATTTTACCCTATTTTAGTCCACTGGGAATATGTTGAGTTCAAATATTCTACAGAATTGTACTTTCATATCCTCAAATGGATGAAACAGCATCTTATGACCTACTATAAAACTATACTTATCTCCAGTAAACTGAGCTATATTTCACAACCAGATTATAAATGTGCCCACAACAAAATGGTCAAAGAGGCACACCTCAGTCATTGGAGGCTTCTTCAAATACAATTTCATTCCTATCATATGTGAGTAACATGTAACTTTTCCTGAACAGCACATCAGATTGAATATTACACTTGGGATAGAAGATTTAAGTTAGTGTTTAAATAATGCCCTTAGCCATTCCCCCATCCCTAGATAATATTTGAGATGAGTATGATTCCTAACTTCACTATGTACTTCATTAGTCTTTAAAATGAAGTTTATGAAAAATAATTATAGAATAGTTTGATTAAATTGCTTTTCTGAATATGTATTCTATATTCATTATTGCAGATTAAAAACTCAGCAGATAACTTTAGTTCATTAAACACAATAATGGGACTTGTTTCCACATAGACTAGCTCTTTATTAAACAGATATTAGTGTATGCTTTTCCTGTGACAGTGTCATCATATTATTCATCTTAAAAGACCAATCTGTTTCTTCCACAGAGTAACTCAGTGTATTATCCTAAATTGTTTGTGTTTAACTACAAATGCATTATATAAACTTGCAAGTGATTGTGTTTCCCCAGGGTCTACTTCTAAAGCTATATGTGTTCCCCTGAATTATGAGATGAAATGATAACTCTCTTAAAACTGCTTTAACCATCCACCTCTAAGTACACATCTGGCATTATAAAGTCAGTGAGAAAATCTAAATATTTTATTTTCCAGTCACTTACGAAGTGGTCACCTATACTAAAGTGAGTTTCTCTTCTGAAGGTATATAACCTTCTGAGAACTAACTGATCCCTGGGAGACCACTAGGGGTCAGTGCCAGGCTAATTTAACAACCATCAGGAGCTTTTGAAGTTTGGAATAGAAGAAAACCTACACTTGGGAAGGGATATTTTTAAAACTAGCAAAAATGTAGTCTCTCCATTAATGCTAAATTCCCCAAATAAGAGTTGCCTATTCTAGACTAAATCTTCTTCTCACCCCTGGAGGGCTGCTTTCCAATCCAGCATTCCAAATAAACTATGTCTTTCTAAAATATCTGCCTGGTATCTGCACAAGGAGGTATAAACTAAATTAGGAATATTCTCATTAAAAAGTATTTGCCAGATGTCAAGCACTAAGTGATCTTTACCAAGTTTCACATCTTCTCTCGATGTCTTTGAATCCTAAACACATTTTCTGTATATGTTTTTTTTAAATATATTGATGTATAAATTATATTTGTTTAGTGTCAATTTTACTCTGAGACTAGGTTACATTTAAGCAGAGATGGCAATGTAAGATCCAGAGAAAGTTAAAATAATGAGTTAACATTTTTTTAATTTGCTGAAGCTTTTCTTTTGCTAGTTTTGCAACAAACTTGCATTAGATTCATAAACATTTTTTTAATACCGGGGTTGATTTCTGGTCATGTATCTTTAACCCAATTTCTCTAGATTATTTTCATCTGATTTTAAAGAAGTATATACTGTTCATTTGTATCTCTAGGGAAAGTCCGGAAAGGATGGGGTGGATGCTAATTAATAAGCATCCAGTCTGAGGTGGTGTGATGTACAAACTCAGGATAGGGAGGCCTCAGCAACCCTTTCCTCCCACATGAGCAAAACAGCATCACCTTTCTCAATAAACCTTGCAGCAGCACTAATCTGCAAACTAAAGACCGAAGTGGAAGATTTTCATTCTTTTTTTTTTCTCTTAAGAAATAAATGTGCAAGTTCTAGAAGTAGGTGATACTAAATTCTACTGTTCTTAAAGCCCCCCGGAACTTTCTAACATAAAGATCCAAGACAAAATCAATTTTAGCTAGTTAGATTAAATAAACAAGCGCAAAAACTAGGATTCCTGCCGCGTGGCTAGAAATCGCCACCCTTCTGCACACTTTCTCGAGGCTGAGGGATTCCCTCTCTCCAAAGGACTCGCTTGTTATGTGGGTCTCGGCCTCTTGGTCTCTGTCTCTGTCTCTCTCTAATTAGGGCATTAGGGCCTTGGTGAGTGGCTCGAGATTCCGATGTCATCTTCTATTAATAAAGAACAATTAGTGCCCTGCCTGTCCTGCTCCGGGGACCTCGCATCAAAGGAAATGAAATGAGCGCGCTGGGCAAAGTGGCCCCGAACCAAAAACCCTTGCGGAAGCGCAGCAGGGGCGAGCGCGAGGCCGCGACCCGCAGCCGGGGGTTGGCAAAACCCGGGGCTGCGCCCGCGGCCCTAACACAAACCGGTCCGGGTGGGGTCTGTTCCGAGCCAGCCGCTCTTTTCCTTTGGTCTAGCGACCCTGGCATGAACCCTCTAGGGACAAGTGTAGCGGCGCTGAGCTCCCTGGTCCCTAATCTCCGTGGGACGCCGCCCGCCGCGCTGACCCGGTCGGGATTCCTTCTCAGTTAAATCAGCGGAGAACCCCAGGAGGAAGCCGAGCACAAGGCTGGGGAGAACCCGCTCGTCCAGAGAGGCTTCCCCTAAAAACTCCGGGCTCAGAGTAGGGCTTTTAGTTCCAAATGGTTCACACTAGCTATGTGACCGTGGATAAATCACTTATCCGAATGGATAACGTTCCTTTACCATTGAGCAACAATGGGTCAGGCACCGTACCCAGCACTGGGGACTGGAAGATGAAAACCAGCAAGATCTGTGTTCTGGTACGTCCATGTTTTGGCTGGTATCTGGGTACTCAATGGTATCAGAGTGGGGTTGCCACAGCGAGGTCCCCAAGGTCCCTTCCAATAGAATGGACTCCCTAGCCTGAGTCGCCTGCCTCTGAGATTCCCACCCAGGGCTGGACCCAGCATGGGAAACCAGGCCTTAGTTTCCCAAAAGTTAGCCTGGGCTTTCCAGGCCCCTTTTCCCAGTGTCTGGAACTCAAAGAAAGAGCTTCCTTCCTGCTTGGAGGAAGCTGTGATCTGCAATGTCCATCTCCATCCTCACCTGGGGGATGGAGAGCTGGGCAGACTACCAACCATGGGAAAGTGGTGAATGAGAGAGACTGATAAATGATAGGTGTCCCCCAAAGCAAGGAAGAAAGTGCACTCTCAGGCCTGTTGCCTGCATTTTGTTTTTAATTAAGAGAGGAGGCCAGTGGAGGACAGAAGAGCAGCCTGTCACACCACTAAGCCTCCTCAGTGGGCCTGACCTGGAGCTGCTTTCATTTTTCCAAGGGGTCTGGATGTCCGGATGGTTGACCATATAGGAAATGAGCTGGTTGGATGAGTACCCTGACCTACAGAAGGGACAGGCCAGCTCAACTGTGGAGAGTGATTCCTACCCCTACAGCTGCTTTTCACCAAAATCAGGGATTCGGTTTTCAACACTCTTGCCAACTGTGTTCCTGATTAACTCTGGGCTGGTGACCACAGCCTCTGCCTCCTCTAGACAGACTGAAGTTGGGCTCTGAAGATTTTTTTTTTTTCAGTATATAGGAAAACCTCCTCCAGGATCTATAATTTGGCTTCCACACAGGAATTGCCCTGGGGCTGTTTTGCTCCAACTGGGAGCCAGAAACTAATGGGCTCATTAACTAATGGGCAACAAGGATTTGGCTCAGCCTGTTTGGGGGAAGTCATTGCAGCCCCAGGGTCATGAATGTGTTTTCTGCCACAACCTAAATAAAGGTCTTTCTCTCCCCTCTCCCTTTCTCCTTCTTTCCCCTCTCCTTCTCTCCCTCTTTCCCCCTTTTCTGAGTGAAAGGGAGTTGTACTGAGGAAAGAGGCATGTTAAGCAAAACCCCTCTTGCCACCAGATCTTGAATGGGAAAGGAGCTCTATGGAATCCTCCTCAGGACAGTCGGAGGCCAGGGCTGGAGGGGGGCGGGGGTGGAGGGAGCAGTAAGGGCCCACCTGAGTTGTAATTGACGATGTCCACTCCCAGCGCTGGGCTCTTCCGCTTCCGGGGCCGCCCTTTCTGCACCGTGCCAGTGCCATTGAAGTAAGGCAGGGCCAAGCCACCGCTCTTGGCCGCCAGCTCAGTGTAGCTCAACTGCGGTGGATACTCCCCTTGCAAGAGGGTCTCGAAGTGGGCGCGGCAGTACACCAGGCTGTCCTTCATGCCAAAATGGTCACCCGTGGTCAGGGTCTTGTTGCAAGTGGAGCAGGTGAAACAGCTCAGGTGGTAGACAGAGTCTCGGGCACGCATGACCATCTCAGAGGCGGAGATGCCAAGGTGGCAGCGGGCACATCTCTGCACAGAGAACCTTCTGGAAAAAAAAAGTCAAGTCAGGGCGCTGGGTGAGGCCACCCGTGACACCTGGAGTTTGGTCAGCAGCGGTCCTATACTGACACCTAGGAGGGCTCTGACAGAAGAGGACACCGGTCCATTTGGTCATTAATTTTACTTGCTTATGACCTGTTCTGGTGGTGAAGCAGGACAAAGAACCCTTACATTAAAATAAGAAGAATCGGGTGACATCCTCAGTTGCCTTCTCTGTAAAGTTAAGATTTAAAAAAAAAAAAGAAAGAAAGAAAGAAAAAGAAAAAGCCCAACAACCAAACAAACCCGCACTAGCTAACTCAAACGCTATGTAAAGAATATTAAATTGTGATGCCAAGGGAAAGGGTTTCATCCGTTACAAAACACTCTATGAAGGGTGGTATTATTATTATTTATGGATGTGTGCGTGTGCCTGAAAGCATTCAGACAGACGCTTTTGCAGAAGAAATCTAATTCTTTTTTAATCACCTCTCTCCCTTTGGTTGAGAGCGGAGCTAGGTCACTTGCGCATAGTTCTCTTTCCCACTCCAGAAAAAATAACTGGGAAGCATCAAAAAACATCCCTGGAGTTTGCTCGCCAGGCTAGCCGGCAAGGTTCTAACTAGCAGTAAATGGAACTCAGAACTGAGTGGCTTGGGTTTCACCAACGGCTATTATTCCTTTTCATGGCCATTTACGTGGTCTCCCGCCACCCTCGCAAAAACCTAACACTGGGTTCCGGCTGCCCCGGCCACCAGTTCAGTTCCAAGGTGCGGGTCTCGCCCAGTTCGTAGTAAACGGAAAAAAAAGAAGAAAAAAAAAACACCCGCTTTAGTCTCGGTCGACAGACACATATTCATTCACTATTTCAAGATTTCTCCAGATTCCTTCTACTGAACTGTGAAGTGTCGGGAGTGGGGTATAGTCACTGGTAGCTCTTGACCTCGGGTATTCCTCCCACCCGTCCTCACCGCCCTTGGTGGGGGTGGCGCAGCTGGAAGGCGTATGCAGTGGACTTCCCCGGTCTCGGGATTGATAACCGTACCCCGAAGGGGCGAAAGGTGGGGGACAGAGAGGAGGCTCCCGGGCTCGGGCAGGTGGCCCCGCCAGAGGTGTACCGGGGCGTAAAGGATAGGGGCGGGAATACCTGTAGTAATCCTCCTTGCAGTAAATGCTACCGTCCTTGGCGAAGCAGGTGAGCTCGGACTCGAGGGCCAGCTTACATTCACAGCACTTCAGGCACCTCAGATGCCACTGTTTGTCCACAGCCAGCAGGTAGTACCTGTCCGAGATCTTGCCCCCGCAGCCGGCGCACAGAGCAGGCTTCTCGGGGCTTAGCGGGGGCATGCCCTGCAAGGCAAGCACAGCGCACCGCTGAGGACGGAGCGCGGCGGAGACGCACAACGCGGAGTTCCCTCCCCGCAGCGCGAGTTTCAGTCGTTCCGGGAGCAGGGCAAGGGTCAGGGGCCACGGCGCAAAGGCAAACGTCGGGGGAAAGTTAGCGATTTTTCCTTTTGCGACTCACTCCCTTTCTGCAGTGTCTGCCTGAACCCGGCGTTCGCATTCTCCCGGGACTATTAACCTAAAGACAGGCTGGCCATCTCCACCCTCTTCTAAAACCTTGAAGACATGCCGTCCACCTCGAAACTCTTTTAAAAGTGCTAGGAGCGCATTGAGTATAGTTTGGCGGATGCTCCCAAACTCGAATACACATGCTAAAAGTTGTGGCTTTCAACGCACACAAAATAAAACAACGGAAATTTTTACGGGGGAATGGAAAGGAAATTTGAACGAACACAGATTGTGTTGAAACCATTCCATTTCCCTAAATTCTTATAGGCAGCGTTAAATTAAAAGGGAGAGATTGTGATACCTGTGCTCCTAATTTGGTCGACATTGTTTTGACCGGGGTGTATTTGGCTGTTCTCTCATTTTCAGGGATATTGGTCCTCTCCTCAGTAAGGGTATAAGGTGCCTGTTCCCAGAAGAGTTCGTTGTCTAGTCCCCTCTGCACAGTCCCCTTTTCCGCCTGCATTAACCTACCCGGGAGACCTGTGTCCTGAAAATCTGTTTAGTGCCCAAGTTCAGCTTCCCCCCCCCTCCTCCGCTTACCCACCGACCAGGCTGAAGATGAGGAAACCTCACCGTGACGAGCCCAGCCCCGCCACGAGATTCGGGTTTGGGTTGCTTTTTGGTTTTAAACAGGATAGCCACAACAAGGAAAAAGAAAAAGAAGAAAGTAACCACTGGTCATTTCCCTCAAGACTAGCAGAAATGGGCTGGACTTCCCCACAAAACTTTGGCGGGCCTGGAAAAGTAAAGTTTCTTCCTTTTACTCAGACCTGGGGCCCTCCACACTATGTTCAGATTCGCAAATGCAAATCCACCAACTCGGCTACTTGGTGTAACCCAAAACACCACTGACCCGCCGGAGCAGTCGAAAGGGTTGGTTCGAGCTACAATGCCGGGTGTGAGGCCGAAGGATCTACACAGCTCCGTTTCGCTGAAATCATTTCCGGAGACTTCTGTAGTTTTTCCCCTCCCGCTCGTACGTGGGAAAGGGAAGCACATAGATTATTAATTGGCTTTCTTTATTAACTGGACGCGACTTTTATTAATGTGAATAGTAGTAACAGTGGTAGTTGATTGTATCGTTTAAGGGTAGAAAGTTCTCGCGCGTAGCCTAGGTGCTCCTCCGGGTTTTTCTTAGATTTCCCCCTACACGTTACACCCGCCCGGCCCGGAAGTTGAACGCAGTCTGGTTGCGCTAGAGGGGCCGGGCCTGGCTGCCCGAGACCCCGAAAATCGCTGGGCTAGGCAGTGCCGCGCTCCGAGCGTCCTGAGAACTGAAGGTGGCCCAGTGGAGTCTGAGTCCTCCCCAAAGATCCGGTCAGCACACCCAGAGACTAGAACCACCTGGGCTCCCGCTTGGCCGCGACGCCACGGCCGCGCGCGCCGTCCGCGCATTGCCCGCACCCAGCTCGCCCTCGCTGCCGCTGTCCTCGCCCGGGAGGCGCCCGGAGTCAAGGGGGGCCGGAGACCCGAGTGTGAGGTCTGCAGAAGGGGACACCCCCATTCTCTCACTCCCGGCCCTCCCTGCTCTGCCGGGAACAGCTGCGGCACAGAGTAGCGAACTCAGGGTCTCGGTTGCGGAGACGTTTCAAGTCAGAAAAGGGGTTTTCTTAGCCCGGCAGGCAGTCAGACCGGAGAAAACCCACCCGCCAGCCTGGAACGGACGTCCCTGGGACCCTCCATCCTCAGCTCGGCCAGCCAGGGAATGGAGGCTCGGCTTCGCAGGGCGCGCCGGGGCGCCAGGCTACCGCCGCCGAGGGGCCCGTCCTTACCGCGTCGCGGCCGTTGAGCTGAGCGCCTTTGGCCAGGCGGGCCTCGGTCTTAGATCTGCGCTCCATCTCCTCCATGATGCCTTGGATGTGGCCTCCGGAGATCCCGTGGAAGAGCATGGCTGGGGGACGGAAAGGACACGAATTGTCTTCTGCTCGGCACCCCACTATTTCCATATACACACGCCCGCGGCTCTCAGCTCATCCGAGTGAAGGAGCAGAAGGGACGGCAGAGAGCTGCGTGTTGGAGGAGCGCAGAGACGCTCGGGGACGGAAGGCAAGAGGGAGAGAGGGAAGAAGAAAGAGGCAGACAGAGTGGAAATTGGTGTGTTTGGAAAAGAAAAAAAAAACAAAAAAAAAAAAGAAGGGGGAAACCCCGGCGGCTCCCTGAAGGAGATGTGCAGAAAACAAACAAACAGGGGCGGAGGGGAAAGGAGACGGAGAAGGCGAATCTTACTGCTCCGAGAGATCGAGTTACTAATGGGAAACAACTGCAGCGGGGGGAGGAAAACAAAATCTGGTGAAGAAAGAAAATAGTTTTGAACACAAAGAAAGAAAAAGAAGTGCTATTTTCAGTGGTCCCTGGCTGCTTGCAAGTTCCCAGTGCCTGTAGGTTGGGTTGGGGACTGCTCCTGCCGTAGCTGTGTCCAATTTGTTAAGAGACTAAAGCCAGCCCATTTTTGATAATTTAGTAGGAGGAGTTCTCTCCCTGGAGCTGCCGCGGATTTTTATTCAGACAACAAAGACCTGTCATACTCCTCTCAACCCCCTGGTGATGGGCAAGCAGGGACAAACATTACAAAGGGGAGGGGGCTGGAGGGGGGGTTAGTAGGAGGGGGCATTTACTTCCCCCCAACACACACACACACACACACACACATACACATCCTTCCAAGAGTTCTCAGTAATCATGATTTAAAGGGGAAATGAGCCCTTATTGTCCCCGCCCTGGTGCAGGAGGCAGAAAGTCTATTTGGTCCAAGTTCAAGATCAGACCCCAGCTCAAGGCATACAGGATGTCAGCTCCAAACTTTGGGTTTCCTCCTTGTGGACTTTATGGTCCCTAACTTACAGGGGACCCCAAATACGCAAATGTTAAACAGATATTCCTCCCTTCCCCTCTTCCTCAACTCACTTTTTAAAAGCAGGTCGCCTCACCTCCCCTAGAGGCCCTCCACCCTACCAGGGCCTGGAACATCACCCAACATGAAAAACAGGCTACAAAAACCTAAGATTCTGAAGTTTACTTTTGGCCAAAAGGTTTTGTTTGAAAAATGAATGTGGAGGACAGGGCGTGGACTTTTGGCGGGGGGAGTACTCAACTGAACCACGACACGGGGTGAGGTATTCTCTTACCCAACTCAGGATTGGATATGAACTGCTGGTGATCCTAGCGTCCCACTTGAAACTCCTCAATGTGGGCAGCCAGTGGAGGACCCCCGCAGGACTAGGTGCGCGCCCTATCGCGTGCTGTTCCCACCGCCCTGGCAGGACAGGGGACTTGTAAAACTGGATGCACCGCACATTTAGGAGGATGTGAGAGGGGCTCCTCGCTGTGGAGGAGGGGAAGGTGAGAGCTGACAAGCAGAATGGCAGACCTGCGCCTCACAAGGGGCGGGATTGTTCTGTCTCCCTCTGTTCCCACTAGCAGTGGCCCCTCCTTGGCCCTATTAAAAAGTGTCCACAACACTCTGATATTGTCGATTCATTCAAACCACCAGAAGCCCCCTAGGGGCCCGAAGCATAGAGCAGTGGCAGGAACCAACCCAACTTTATAATCAGCGAAAGGAGGAAGCCGGGGCTGCTCCCTCTTTCTTTCCTTCCTCCTGCCTGCCTGCTTCCCACCACTCCCCATCATCGGCTTTCCCAGGAATGGCTCCTGTCTCCACACACCCCGGGTACCTCAGAAGAGTACCCTGTTGGCAGACTTGCTTCCCTCTAGGGGAATGGTGGTCAAATCTGGAAAGATGAAGGAAGAGAGGGAGGAAGAGATAGAGGAGGGAAGGATGAAGAAGGATAAAAGGGGAAGGGAAGAATGAGAAGGGAAGGAAGGAAGGAAGGAAGGAAGGAAGGAAGGAGGGAAAGGCAGACAAGAATGGAGGCAGGAAGGGAACTTGTGCAGCAGTCTGACTTCCTGTCCCAAAGCATCGCCTTCTGAAGCTGCTGGAGTCACCTCTTCCATGAAACCCAAGACTCCACTGCTTCCCCTTGCTCTTTTCTCGGGGTCAAAAATAATGTTATTTGCAGACTGGACGCTGTTACAGTCCTCCGGGTGCCAGAATACAGCTCATAAAACACAATTTCACACAAAAATGAAGCCAATCAAGTGAACTAAGCTGGAGACCTCCCCCCTCACTTTGGCAGCCCTACCGGACAGCAGGGCTGCTATTTACTGTAAGTAATGTAATTAGCCCCTTTGGATGGAAATCAATGAGCTTTTCAAACCCACGTGCACAAACGAAGGGCCCCAAGGAGGGGCTGGGAGCAGCAACCCTTTCAGAGACAGCAGGTCCTCTCACAAAGGGGCAGATTGCCTTCCCACAAGTCAGCAGCTAAATGGACTCAGATCCCGAGGAGGAGGAGGAGGAGAAAGAGGAGGGGTCTCTGAGAAGAAAATCAGTCAACCCAAGGAAGCTCCAAGGTAAAAGTAAATTTGGGACCTCAATCCAGGGACCTGCTTTGTCTAGTTTCTGGACTAAACTACCGCTCTCACCCCCCACCCCCATCGCCCGCCTGCCAAATGGGGGTGTTGGAATTAGGTTTGGCTGTTGTTGAATTTTGGTCTTGCTCAGCAAAAACAACAAAGAACGCGAGAACACAACCCTGTTCTTGCAAGAGATGAACTTTGGAGACTTAATGAAGTGAAAGTTTAACAAACAGCTCCAGGAAAAATAGTTCTGTGAGGTTTCCAAGGAAGCCAATCACAGAAGTCCTGTAAAACATCCTTCATGCGTTCATCTGCTCCACAAATATTTGTTAATCGTCTATCGGGTACAGGCAGGGCAGAGCACCTTCTACAGTCAGCTTTGGGGTTGGATTCCAGCTATGCCTGCTTTTTTCTTATAAAACTTAGGTTATAAGTTCCTGCACCCAGTGGGTATTGTTACTTCCCATAAAGAAGTGTACTGCCAGGAGTCTTCCTTCTCAGCCAAGGCAGGAAATTTGCAGAGCTAGGGGTGGGGCAGGGGGTGCTGCTGGAGTTTGGGAGGTCCTTTTTAGTTCTGCAGAAATTGCTCCCCACCCGCCCAGCTCTGCCTCCCTCTCACAGATCCTTAAAGAGGATGCCCATGGGGGGGGGGGGAGATGCTCCAAGAACTGGATGTGTGATCTGGGGTATCCTTTTTGTCTTGGAGCCCCAAAAGGTTACCTAAGAGGGCCCCCCTCACTACCTCTTATTTACAAAGGGAGTAAGCACTTTAAGGAGAGCATCTTTGTAGCTCTGACTTCTTTCACCTCTGGAGAGGAGGGCCTGGAGCCCGGTGTCCCTCAGAATTGCCCGAGAGTGCTCTATAAAAGTTGGAGTGCTCCCTGGTTCATTTCCTGGGGCTCCGCCTCTCTAAATGGGACAGGTGCAAGGGGCTGTCCCCCACCTGCGGCCCATAATAGGATCTCAACTCTCCTCCCTGAACTCAAAGCTCTATTTGGAGCAGTGGGGCAGAACCCTGGCCAGTTGCCACCCTCCTCACAATTGGGCACACACAGTCCATTCTCTTCTTTGCTCCATGATCCATCCATCAGGCTACTGTTGCCGCTTTCAGAAAAGCGGTTGGCTGGTCGCTAGTGGGGCAGAGAAGTAGGGAGGGGTTGATGGTTCAGGGTCCTGGAATCTCCAGGAAGGCAGCAAGTTTGTCCCAGGCTCTGGCCCAGAAAAACTCCCAAGAGGGCAAGAGAGGGGAAATAAAGGGAAGGCATAGCTTTACCCAGGGAGCAGTAGAGGCTTTAGGATCCAGAGAGGAAAATAACCCTGCAGACCCATCTCTTGAGAGCATTGGCAACATAAGTTCTCTTTATATCTGACTTTTGGAAGCCAAGATCCTGTACCCCCGGTTTGCCCTTCAAAGGGCAGAGGTCACCTTTCCTCCTGACCCTGTTAAACTGGTTGGGGAGACCCTTTGGTCTGAAAGGTGCAGGTCTTGAAGTAGTGTCTGTCTTTTGGCACTGTCGTGAGCACCCCAGAGCCCGGGGTAGAGGACGTCGTCCGGGGCTGGGAACGGCGCGCTCAGTCCTGGTCTCCCCGGCTGCGATGGGCAGGAGGTGAGCCGATGGCCCCGAGCCGCCAGGCCTTTCTCTAGTCGGTGGGCATAGGGAATCTCTACGTTCGAAAAGATCCACTGGCACTGCCGCACGAGCGCATCTCTGATTCAGTCTTGCTGGAAGGGCCTCCCTCCAGACAGATGGGAGCGGGCCGAGCGGAGCTGGGGCCGGGGGAGCCCTCCTGCACGGAGGGGAGACTCAGGGCCGCGCCCCAGCTGCGCGCCGCTTGCGCCGCAGGGCCCTACAGTTCCGTGCACTCTGACCCACGCACATCCTCTGTACCCACAAAGCCACCCGACCGTCGTTTGCTCTCTTCAAATCTCTGTCCTCCGTGGTCCCTGACTTCTTCTCCCGGGGGGCGGTTGCCACATCCGAAATCCGAAGCCCCTTTACCTGACATTTTCTGCGCCGTGGGCCCTCAGCTGCCCGAGGAATAAAGGGAGACGTCCCGCACAGCGTCCTCTGAGGTCGCGCGCAGGAACAGCTGCGCGGGGTTTGCATGAACAAAAAATGCGGGGGAAGCCAGTTTCCAGTTAAGCCCTACACAGGTGAGAAACGGTGTCAGCCCTGCCCCCCACCATCCCTTCCAGCGGGGAGACGCCCCCAGCAGCACCACCGAGGATCCAGGGCGCATCCATCACGCTGCTGACAACTCGCGGCTCAGCTGCACCGTGACCTCCACCTCCCCCTCTCCATCCTCAAAAAAGTGAAAGACATTCAAGGAAAGGCAAAAGGAGGGAAACGCAGCTTTCAGGAATCCTGGCAGGAGACTGAACGAGACTGCATTGAGCCTTCGAAGCGCGGTTTAATTTCTTAACACACACACACACACCCCTCTTTCTTTCACCCAATGAAGGCGCGCACACGCGTGTGCGCGCACACACACAAACACACCAATGTGCACACCAGCCTAAGAAAAAGGGCAGAGGAAACGAGAAGGAACCTGGCGTATAACTCACCTGCCTCTAGAGTGGTGCCGTTCAGCATTCTTAGAGCAAAAGGAGTTGATCACGCCGTAATGGTGGCTGCACTGTCAGAGAGAAGCCGCGCTTTAGCTGGGCGTTGTGGCCCGGGGGCCCCGGAGCCTCCTACCACCCCGCTGGGGCGCGTCCGAACTGCTCCTCCCGCCGCGACCTCGGTCCCTGGGCGGCTTGAAGCCCGGCCTGCCTCCGCTAGTACCCGAGACGCTCCTGGGGTGCCCGGCCGTCCGGGCGCACGCCCAGGCCAGAAAACCGCTCCGACCAGACAACACCCGTGGGATCTTACCTTGAGGTCCAGACGTTCTCCCCCAAGAACCCGGTCCTCGGCGAGGGAGGGCGGGAGGCGGCGGCCAGAGGTGCGGGATGGTCCCCAGGTCTC